CATATACCTTCTGAACACTCTTTCAGAAACACATGGCAAAACAGGAATTTGAGGTGAAATGTACAAGAAATTAAGATTTTTTTTTTTTCCTCGCAAATATTTATAATGATATTTCAAAGAATGCTGGAACTTTTGTTTGATTCCAAAATGTAAGTGCTATTTATGCTATAAATACATGTACTGAGACAAAAAATGGGCGCATACATAGTTTTTTTTAGAACTCTCATCTTGGATTTCTATTATCTGTGCCAATACACTACAACTGTGAGAAATACTTTCTGTGTAATTGCTGAAGCAGAGGTGGAAAAATTACTGGAAGGTGTTACATATTGCGTTTGCACTGTCCAGGGTTGGCATCTCATTGTGCGAGAAATTTGATGTCCTGCAGAGTTAACACTGGAACAGCTTAATGATGTTTATAGTTAGAGTTTGCTCGTACATATGAACATGTAGGAAACTGCCGTTCACAGGCAAAAAAGGGGCACATGAGGCAACCTGCCCTGGACAACTAATGGGGATTCTTGAGGCTTATGTATATGGGGACTGTAAAGCAGTGGAGTATAGGAAGGACTCTGGAAAAAATACAGCCAACTTCCAGCACCTTTTGTTTGTTTAATTTTACCGGTTTTCCCCAATCAGTTCTGCACGTCACGTTTTCCCCTCTCCGTTACTTGAGTCATAACCAGTTACAGTGTTATTTTTGCAGTTAACACTGTAAGAAATTGTTGTTGCTGCTGTTTCTCACTTGCTTATTCGGGTAGGACAGTTATTAACCGTTTTGTCACCTAGCGTAGGGGAGGATGTGGGTGGCGCGTGAAGGCATGGGGGTCCCTGAAGGTCCTGGTGGGCACCGCAGACTTAACTGAAAACACCACGTGGTTTTGTGATTTAAAACAAGAGACTGCTTTCAGCTCAGATGAATGCCAAGCGATGGGGAGGGACAAAGCAGACTTCCAGGCAAAACTATGCCCATAACAAAATAAAAACCCGTGCCTGGACAATGACTGTTTCCTGAATCCATGTTACTGCTCAGGAAAAGGACAATGGGTTTGGTTTGGGCAGCTTTCTGCAAACGCCTGCCCGGTGCTAGTTTAAAATAAATAGTTAGAAATTATTATGGAAAAGGAGTAGAGGGCAAAAGGTTTGAATATACCACGTTATAAATCCCCATCTTGAATATTGTGTGACATTTTGGACCCTGTTCCAAGATTTAGTAGAAAAGGGGAGGCGTGGAGGAGAATGACAGCCTAGGTCTGCTTCCAGAAGAAGACGGGGTAAGCAAGATTGGGACTAATGAACCTGGAGAAGGGATGTGATGAAAGGGATAAAGTGAAGATATATGTTGTAGAACTTACTGCCAAAAGATACTTCAGAAGACAAAACCATAGTGGTTTCAGAAGTAAATTGGACAATCCCAGTGGGAATAAGGATTTAATTATGTGGGCTTGGGTGCAGCCAGTGGTTGTGGACATGCAGATTTTAAGAACTGCTAAATTCCTGGTGGCTGGAGTTGGGGGAAATACTCAGGCAGCACGTTCACACCTCCCATCTTCTTGCACTTGTTCCTTAGACATCTGTGCTAATCCTTTCAGAAACAGCCTACTCTGTCAGACAAACCTTTGAATGGAGAGTACCAGCACTCGTCCGGGTGTACTTGAAAATAAGCATGCTAAAGAGGCTTAGCTGGTTTTGGAGCACCTGCTTGGATGTGTCCCAGTATTGTTGGAGGGAGGGAAGTGTCTGTATTCAAGGCTTGCTATGTAAGCTAAACTGAACCTCTCAGAAATTCAGGAGGTGGTAACTGGGAGGCATGAATAGCTTAGAGAAGAGCGTGGGATTTTGACTTTTGGATTGTTGTGAAGTTGCACATTACTTGGGTTGGTTTTAACTCTGTTTATCTGGATGTCTGGCGTTGTGCGTTTTCATCGTTACCCTGCTCGTGTTTTCGAGAGGTGCCTTTTTTTTTCCTGTTTTCTGCCAGTGGAGCGGGAATGAAGACACTTTTGCTGTTCTCTGTTTTGTGTCTTTGAGCAAGACCAGTTCCTTTTTTATCTTTGGGTTCATGTTTTTTTTTGCTCTTCCTCAGGAGAGCAGCTGCATGAAAATGTGACTGTTACCAGGTTTTGATCAGCAGCTGCAAAACCAAGTAGTCCTCTTAATTTCATTTTGCATCTGTATGGTGAAGCTTTGTGCAGGAGGAGTATGGTTTCAGCTTTGAGAAGATCGCATTACGTTAATAGTTGGCATTGGAAGGGTTTTTTGTAACTATATGAGCAGTTTGTTTACCTCTTAAACAACATAGTTCTGCATTAGTTTACAATATCCAGGTTAAACTGCCTTTTTTCCAAGCCCTTATTGTTTTGGAAGGCTCAGTTTAAAAGCGGAGTGCTGTGGTGTTTTGTTTGTCTTTGTTACGCTATCTTTATTGAGGTATTAAAATGCAGAGCTGCTTTTGGTTTGTTACGAAATCTATATTTTAACATTATAAAATACAGTTGCAATTAACCTGAAAATAAGTAACCTCACTGCAAAAGTTTCATGTGGGGGAATCTATGGCAGTAAAGTTAAATCTTCCAGTCTTAAGGAGCCTAAAAGTGCGTTTACCAGATTGGACGTAGGAGACTTCTTCCACTGAACTGCAGCTGTCCCTTGTTTGTGGTTTGAAACTGCAACTATTGACAAGTGCAGGCAGAATTTATACAAAAAATCGGAAGGCCTCTTTGCCAATTCAATAAGCATGAAAAGTGGTGTGGGGTGTTTACGTCTTGGTCTCTTTGCCAAAAGTTCTGTCTCCCAAAATGTATAATCTTTGCCGCTTACATCTCAGAAGTGATTTTCTGGTATTTGAGTATGTTTCTGGAAGTATGAGTCGTGGGAAAAGACCTACTCATAGCTCTTATACAAGTTTACTGACTCTTGGGATTTTTTTTGGCTTAGTCTAGTCTATTGTGCTCTCCTGGTTCTCTGCTTTTTTCACAATGACAGAAGCCATAAAATCTTGGATCTGGTTTAGAAATGAGAGGTGTTTTCAGTTGTTTTAATTTACCTTTTCTATGGCAAAGCAAACCATTGCAGCCATTTTTCCACTTAAGTCTTGTGTTCCTAGTGAAATACAATGGTGCTGTTCCTGCAAATTCTGAATTCTTTTAAAGGAATGTAATCAATGTAAGGTGATTTAGAAGGCCAAAGTATCAGAGACATCCCTCATCAGCTGCTTATTTGGTCTGCATCAAATTTTGATTTATTCTGCTGCAATGAAAAAATTTGATAAGAGGTGAAAATTTAGGAATAAATATGAAAATTCTGTGATTGTTATTTAACATTAACTTTACTTTTCATTTTGTTTACCTCTGTCTCTGATCACAAACAGAATTAAATTTCTTGCTCTTCACTTTAAACAATTGACAAACCTTGAGTTCTCTTCACAAATGCTAAGGATTAAATCCCTAATTCACCAATAAAGACCCTAAGAAGCAAAATAAAACCTTGTTATTGTATAGCTCCTTTGACAGACAACTTGCTTAATTAATCATAACAGATTTGTAACCAAAGATTCATTTATTTTAAAATATTTGATAGAAAGACTTCATTTATATCTGCGGGCAGTTCCTGAAATAACAGGAAAATCATGTAGTGTTCTAGGGTTTAAGTTAGTTTTTCTCTTAATATATTTCTCGTACTTCATGTGGATCTAAGTAAGCAGCATCTGAATACAATTGGAGTGTGGAGATATAGGATATTCCAGTTATTTAGGTCAGCCTGGTTGATGTCTACACTGGACATGCATTTGAAGTCTTTTAGTTAAAACTCACGGCACAGCATGTTATTAGAACGTTAGAAATGCAGCTTCTTCACAAAAATAATACTGAATTAAGCAAGATCCATCAATGGCATTTCATTAACAATTTCTGGTTTAACTGTACTTTTTAAGACCTCATATGCCTGATGTGCTGAAATACCTGTTTGTGAGACAAGGGCTGCGGGATTCCAGTAGGTTTTAACAGACTAAGACCTCAGTTTTCAGGAAAAAGCTTTCAAAACTTTCCTATCCTGCAAGACATTTTTCCAGCATTTTAACTCTACTGCCCCCTCCCCCAGTGCATACTTCCATTACTTTAATCTGACAGATTGCATGGAGACTTTACATGAAGACTTTAACATACAGATGGGTTATGCATCTAAGGTGTTCTCCTATTCTCTCTTACAAGTGCCAATTATTTGGTATTATGTTTCTAATGTGGAATACAGAAAAACCTGTCCCTTCTGTGTCATGAGGAATGGGCTGTTTACTTGCATGCCCTCAAATTCTGCCTATTTAAGTAACTGGGAACTAGACCAGAAAGCCATACTGCTCTATTTGCCAATTCTAATAGCAAAAATTGTTTAGACTTGAGAAATATCTCAGTGTCTATGAATCCATTAAATATCCATTACTGTATGGGTCTTGTTTCCCTCTCAAAGAAGGGTAGTCAGTATTTCTTCATTTCCATTTTCCTTTAGAATATTATGCTTTATATGATCTTGTCAATCAAGTTCTTTATTTGGCTTTTTGTGTCACTTTCTTCCATCTATTAACTTCTCGTGGCATTTGAAACAAAAGGCTTCTGCTTTCTCTTTGCAGTCTTGGTGCTGCTAAAGGAGTTAAAGATGTCGGAAAGGGAGAAAGCAGAGCATCAACCTACTGAAGTACATTGGTATTAGGAATGTTAAATAAACCTTTCCGTCCTTCTAAAAATAAGTATATGATGATTGGTGTATTTGGCTTGTTTAAGATGTATTTTCTTACAACTGTAAAATAAATTTGTTGGATCCCTTTGTCACTTTAATTTTGCTCTGTGCATGGAGTCTATTTCTGTAACATTTCAGTTCCAGGGGACTGAGTTTCATCTTTACTGTGTGTTCTTAATATCACTAGCCTGTTTTCGTGCTAATAGGGATTTTGCAATTGTTGACCCAGTATAATGTAATTATTAGAATGTTATTATTTAACCTGTTTCCAGGTACATCCACCTTTATGGAAGCATTAGCAGCCAATGGTACAACCAACATACAGACATCTGTGACAGGAGTCACAGCCAGCAAACGAAGGTTTATTGATGACAGGAGAGATCAACCCTTTGACAAAAGGCTACGTTTCAGCGTGAGGCAGACGGAGAGCGCGTACCGGTACAGAGACATTGTTGTCAGGAAACAAGATGGATTCACGCATATTTTGCTATCGACAAAATCATCTGAAAATAATTCACTAAATCCAGAGGTCAGAACAATTCAGATTTTGGGGGATAGGGTGCTGGGGGAGTTCCAGGTCCTTGCCTCATTTATCCCTGTTATTCGGGCACAAACGTACACAAAACAAGGTTCACATTGTGGCTTGCAAGATGTTAAATTGAACTGAATTACACTTAAAATCAGTTGTTTGTGTAAGAACTGTGTTATCTGAACATGGAGATGTACTGTCTTTTGTACGACGTGGTGATTTTTGAAGTGCGCCCTGAAACAAGCTTTAACCTGATTTAAGGTTCTGTTTTTTTCTGAACTGGTTGCATGTGCCACCTGCTGTCCAAATTACGGAAATGCTGAATGAGAGCTTTAGTTTGCAGATAGCATTTCATGGATCTGTTCTTAATGATTTCATTATCTTTGTCTAATTACACTTTTGAAATGCAAAGCTTCTCATACCATTTATTTATTTATTTATTTAATGTTCTTATGTTTGGGTAATGAAAAAAGTGAACTTTTCTAATCTGCTGGTTGAGTGGATCCTAAGGAGAAATTAAAGCTCTCAGAGGGAGGAGGGGAGGAGAACAATGCGCTACTTTTTAATAACGGAATAAAAAGTTTCTAATGAATTTTTGATTTTCAGGTAATGAAGGAAGTCCAGAGTGCACTGAACACAGCAGCTGCAGATGACAGTAAACTCGTTCTGTTCAGTGCAGTTGGTAGCATTTTCTGCTGTGGTCTTGATTTTATTTATTTTATACGACGTTTAACGGATGATAGAAAAAAGGAAAGCACTAAGATGGCAGAAGCTATTAGGTATGTAAGTTTATCTTCAGTCGTCTGAGTCGGTATTCTTCATGTAGTGGGGCTTATCTTTATTTCAAAAGCCTCTAGTTCAACAAGATCCCAGACACTCCCCTGTTATGTGCTATATTGTGCTGCACTTCTTTATATTCCCTGTCCCTTCTTATTTGGGTTGCCATTTAATGCATTGCTATTTTTACTATTAAAATTTACCTATGAAAACTGTTAGTATGGTAATACTCCTCCAGTTGAAACCAATTTTAAAAGATTTAAACAGCTATAAGGCTTCAAGAAAACAAAATTAACACATGCAAATACCAGATATGCATTGACTGTGTAACTTGGTATAGTACATTCAGAGCAGTGGAATGGTGGATATTTTAGAGGAGTAGACTAAAACTAGTGACCATCATCCCAACACTAGGTACCAAACCTAATATTTAAAGAAAATTAACTGAACTGCTACAAACTAGAAGAATATATATGGAAAAAAGCATGGATCTTAGGGACATGTTTAAATGGTACAAACAAGTAGTTTAGTTAATCGTTTAAACACTGGCTTTGAGGGCCTGGGCTCTTAGATTAGCTCTGGTATGTTTCCAGAGCATCTGTATTCCTTCAGAGACCAATATTCTGTTGTCATTATCAATATTCATGTCCCTAAAGAAGGCCTTCTGTTTCATTGGAGGCGCATTTGGCTCATAGAGATGATAATAGGTGCGGCTTGTTGTTTCTGGTTGGTTGGGTTGGGTTTTGGGTGGGTTTTTTGTTGCCTTTTTTTTTTCTCCCCCAGATGAAATATTTCAGTCATTCCAAGTAAAAGTTGCTCATGCAGGGACTTCAGATGCAGCCAGAGGACAGAAGCTTTTAACACGGAGCTTCTGCCACTAGTTCTAATTCGGTTCCATCCAGAATCCTGATTTGTCACCTATTACTTGTTGTTAAGAAAATGGAAAAATGGAACTTAAACCCCCCCTTCAAATACAGGAATGGTATTTTTCATATATATGCTAAGATGGTCATCTCTGGAATATTCAAACGTGATTAAAATTATCTCAAGTCTCTGAATTGGGAGTGTTTGTGTGATGGATTGTATAAGATTGTTCCAGCAGTTTTTCAGCATTCATCTACTTCAGCTCGCTAGGGTGAGTTGAGCATGATAACCTGTAGTGATGGATGCAATATAGTAGAAGTGTTCTGTTTCACTGAAATGCAAAACCAGCCATTACGACGCTAATTACTGGCCTCCAACTAGTCTTGGTGTCGCTGTTCACCACCCTCTGGGCCAGCCATTCAGACATTTTTAGTCCTCCACACTGTCTGCTCATCCAGCTCATACATCAACAGCTTGACTGGGAGAGTCTTGTGGGAGACAGTGCTGACTGCCTCGCTCTGAAACCTAGGTAGACAATACCCACTGCACTCTCCTCATCCAAGCTAACCACCTCATCATGGAAGGTTATCAGGTTGGTTTTGAAAGTAATGTTACTGTGGACATGAATTCTTACTAAGTTTTCAAGGGCTGCTATATTTTACTCTCTATAAATACATAGTGAGTACATGTTTCTGTTTCTCTTCAGGAATTTTGTGAATACTTTTATTCAGTTTAAGAAGCCTATCATTGTAGCAGTAAATGGCCCAGCCATTGGACTTGGAGCATCTATATTGCCTCTGTGTGATGTGGTTTGGGCTAACGAGAAGGCTTGGTTTCAGACACCATACACTACTTTTGGACAAGGTCCGGATGGATGTTCATCCCTTACATTCCCTCGGATAATGGGCCTGGCTTCTGTAAGTAGCTTGCAGAGTAGGGGCAATGCAGTTGTGATGACTTATCCAGAGTGATTTCAAGACTTTTTGACCTTTGCTGAGTTGCCGTTTTTTTCTCTCATGAAAACATTTCATGAGAATCCAGTACTTACAGCTTCTCTGCTCCATGCTGTTGCAACCTAGTCTTCACCTGCATGCACAGAACCAAAAGCAGGGACCTAATCCTATGTCATGGGCACCTTTGGCAGTGGCAGAAGGGTTATATCCTGCATGCCAGGACACACCTTCCTTGCTGTTGCCTTGTAAGGACCAGCCACCAATATCTTGCATTCAGCACAGCATCGAAGCGTAGCAGAGAATGGGCTGCTCTGCACTCAGTGTCATTACACAGCAGAGCGCTATGGCACCAGCTCTCAGCAGTCTCCTGCTGATTTGCAAAATAAGTAATTCTGCTTTTGTGCACTCGTTCTCAAGAAGTCGTGTTGAACTTGCTCACTTTGCGCATCTCCGCTGATGTTTCACACTAGTGCATTATGGAAGAAATACTCAGCCCAAATCACCTTTGCGGAGGGTTATTTACGGTTTATTTTGTTTTAGTCTTTGGACTCGATTTCCAGTATTGCTGGATTGAAAAATGGAAAAGTTTTGCACTGCTGCTGAAAACATAAGCCACGTGCTTCTTAATATCCCTTTTCTTGCTTTCCAATCGGATGTGAGAATCAAATTAACAAAAAGCTATTTAAAAATCTCTTACCTACATTCTTTTCATGTTACTTACTTTTTTTTTATGCCGTGTTCTTTGAAAACTTTGACCTATGCCCCATCCCAGTTTGAAATTGCACAGTAACAGTATGAAACGAGCTTGTAGCTACACCTGGTTTTCCGAAATTACTATTATAAAAGCAAATTTTTCTCAGTAGGTATTTACTGATTTAAAATGGAGATTTTGATACATTAAAAGCATCGGTTTCTAATGCACTTGATCTAATGACTAACTAACTGTATGATGTCTGGATTTAGTTATTAGAAGAGAAAAGGTAACTGGAATAGATTAACAGTTATAAGAGTAGCTTTAATATCTTAGCAAGTTTCAAACAACTGATTGTTCCTTTCCCTTTTTATTTGGCCATCCATCCATTCATCCATACATTCCATCCATCCCTGTCCTTTAGAGACTTGTGGTTGTAGCTTTTTGTTTCTTTAGAAGATGTACAAGAAACACAAGAAGCTCTTCCCTAGTATACGCTTTCATATGTGTTTGTGAATGCTCTCATTTTTAAATACAAGGATTTAAACCGAAAGCTTCCAGTAGCAACAATTCCGTAGTTAGTGCAGAAGGGGACAGGGTGAGTGGCCACTGTACTATACTCAGCTCTCTGCAGGGTCAGTTGTGGCTGGTGAACAGCTCTGTTGTGGAGGGGTTTTTCCACAGAACATGTTCAACAGAGGCTGTTATTACAGGATAACTGAAGCCCAGACCTTAGGATTCAAAACTGATGCTGTACTGAGAATACCAAGGATTTTAGAAGGATTCTTAAACTTAGCTTTTGAAAATAATCTATTGCAGAGATTAAGGTGGTGCCTGTTTGGGGAGATCTGTTATTGTGTGACTGCTGTGGAGTTCTTGCTCTGGTTTTCTGGTCCTGGATCTAAAGCACAGGAGCCATGTGCTCAAGCTTCCCACGCTGGGTTTCCCTGCCAGTCTGCAGCTCACTTGGCAGTGTTTCTCATGCTCTTCTATCAGTCAGTCAGGATATGCATTTCCAGAGTGCCTGCAGTCCACATCACAGACAGGGATCAGAGCCTCCTGATCATAGTGCAAGAGAGTCAAGATGCTCCTCAGAAGCTAGTGCCTGTGGGCTTGCACAGAAGTTCCCCTATGAGCCTCAAAACACTTGCTGTAAAAGAGAGATCAGAGGATGTCCCTGTGAAGTTCCTCTGTGGAAGGAGAAGACCAAATAGAAAATTAAGGTTGTTAATGAGAATCTTATATTTATGAAATATTTTTATCACCATCATTTCTATTGCTGTATTATGTGGCTTGCAAAGTAACCACCAAGTGTATTATTTTTCACAGCAGACACAAGGTGTGATTATTGGATTAAAACTTATTTAGCAGTGGGTCTCCAACACATGTTGTGTATAGATCAAAAGCGGGGATGCCAGAGCAAAACATTTCCCTTCAAAGCCTGTCAACTGTGAAAACCCATAGGACCACTCATTTCGTGTGAGGCTTCCTGCTACTGCTGTGTTACAGCTGGTAGAAGACAGGCACCTGCCCCAGTATCACTTGTGGGGCTTCATGTTGCTGCTGAGTTCTAGAAAACAAATGAAGGTTTTCTAGCACTTGTTTTTATCCTGGTTACCAAAAATACATGTGAAGAATGTGCAGACCTGACCAGCTGATTTAAATTTCTGACTTTCCTAACTCCAGTTGGATTGATTTCACATTTGGATCTTTGACATAAATGTGGAGTAGCTTTTGAAATTATTTTGGAATAACTTTTTTTCCCCGTATCTCCGTAGGAAAATAATTAGTTCTTGTTCTTAGACAAACTTGTGTGTAGCACACATGGATTTTTAGCTAGTGTTTCAGGTTATTCACGTGTAATGTGGAAAATTAGAAGGAGACTCATGATAGTTAATAAACCTTGTAAATCTGACTTTGCTTTCAGAGAAGGTAGAACTAAACAGGCATGTAGGTTGTATCCTTAGATCAAGGCTTGTTTTATTAAAATGGATATATGTGAATCCTAACTTCCCATATTAACTTCTGAGAAATGTGCTGCTGGTAAATTTTATGGACTGGGAGTCAGCAACCCGACTGCCAGTAGAACCCAGACTTTGTATTTTGTTACAAAGGGGCAAGTACTAGACCTCCGAGTTTCCAACCTGCTTCATGTGGAAAATGGCAAAACTGGGAACAGTTCCTGCAGCAATTAGATCATTTTGAGATCCTTAACTGAAAGTTGCTGTAATAATTGCCAGAATTTCCAGTATTAGAAAACATAAAAAACCCTCCAAATTTTGTCCTCAGAAATGCTGCACTTGTCAGGTTCAGAATTCATTGCCCAGATTTCAAGAGTCCGGTGATGGTTTTGGCATATTTTCGATATAAATTAGTCATAAAGAAACAGTGGTACTCATTTTTATTTGGGGTTTCTGAGGTTGGCAGTTACTCTGTCTTTATCTTCACTGGCTGTTTCCGTGCAGATACCACGGCAAACAAAATGTTTAACTATGTAAGAAACTTCATTAAAGGTAGAATTAAAGTGTAAGTGTAAATGGTTGTAGGATGAAGCTTTAATGGAGAAGCTGATAAATAGTCAAGTGTATTATAATTACATATAAAAAAAAATCTAGAGAACTAGAGATCACCTTGTTGCACAGAATGTTGCACAGAATGTTCTGTACCTTTCAACTGTGGTCAGAGCTTTTAAATACTGGTTTGGGGGTTTTTCTTTTTAATTAGACTGAATGTTTATTTTCCATAAATTTGATCAGAAATTGGACTACATCCTGCTCAGTGCAGTGGGGTTTGGAGGTCAAATTCTAAGATGATCCAGGTATTTTAAATGTTGCATTATAAATTAAATCCTGCTGCAGGCTTTGGAGCAGTGCTGAAAATAAACCACACTGGGTACTCAATACTAAAAAAAAATTGAGTTGCAAAAAGTTACCTGTTCTTGTCTGCCAAGACTAGCAGTTCCCAGGAGGTCTGCTACCAAAACTGGGTTATCTTTATCATTTACGGATAGATTTTAGCACAGATTTCATTGCTGCAACGAACACTATTACAGAGGGCAAGCCAATGTCTTCGTTACTGCTTTACAGATCTGCCGGGCATTGTAACCTATTACCACATAGTTAATCAAGTGAGCGATGCTGCAAGATAGCTAGAGCTAATGAATGCTCAGTAATGGGAAACGAGTAAAGCCAGTTTCACATTTAACCCTTGATCACAGACCTCTGCTTTTTTTGTAACTCCTGCCATAGTATAGTAAACACCACCAGCTGCCTATCTATAGGCAAGTCTTTATTCATTAGAAGTTGGAAGAGCTATAATAAAACTATTTCAAATAGTGCAGGCATTTTCCGTATTTGTTTTGAACATTTTTCCTTTAATGAGTTTTGTCTCATTACATTTCATACCAGAAGTAACTTTCTATCCCTTCAGGCCAATGAAATGTTGTTCAGTGGAAGGAAGTTGACTGCACAGGAAGCTTGTGCCAAAGGACTCGTCTCTCAAGTGTTTTGGCCGGGAACATTCACACAAGAAGTAATGGTTAGAATCAAGGAACTGGTCACATGTAACTCAGTTGTAAGTTTCCTTTGTTTTCTTGCAATACATGCTTATGATTAGATTAATAAGCATTAATCTAAGTATTACTAGGCTACATCATTACATCCTTCTGAAAAAAGACCATTTTCATGAAATAAGTACAGCATTTTAGTATAGCACTGTCTTTTTATTTCCTGGGTTTTGAGGACTGCTTTTTCAGTTTGTATCCGACTCTTGCCATATGCCATAGTACACATTGGTTATGAAATTGAAAACACCATTGGACTCTTTACAATATACTTGTGTTTAACATAGTTGCCTAACTTATTCTAATCAACCATGTAAACAGTTGCCCTAAGTACTGCACAGAAATCTTTCAGTTGTAATATAATGTCTTGAGTTATAATAACATAGATTACTAGGAAAGTAAATGCAGTCTTTGACATTATGTTGAACTTAATTTTACTACAAAACGCCTAGAATAATGTGGATCGGAAGGGACGTTCAAAGGTCATCTAGTCCAACCCCTATGTTTGGTCGCACTACTGGCTGTTGCACAATAGCCAAAACTACCCATATTTAATCTTATGAGAAGAGATGAAGCACAGATTAACTGTTCTGTGCATTGGAAAATTTGGATTTTGAAATGGATCAATAGCTTTCTAAATGGAAAAGCAAGTGAGATTTTTCAGCCTCCTTTGAATGCCCAAGATTGTTAAGGTCTGCCTGGTTATTGGAGCAGTTCCGGATAGCAGTTCCGGATAGCAGTTCACCAAAATGAAGTTGGAGTTTTCTCTAGTTATCAGTATAAAATCATATATATATATTCATGGTTACAATTTTACTATTTTCATCATTTCCACATTTTTGTGTACTTGTTAACTGTGAAGTGTTTCTTAGGCTTGTAGGCTGATAAGCAATGTATGATAAGCTTAGGTTCATAATCAACTTCAGGATCCATCCACGCAACCTGTAAGTACACATGTAACGCTAACGCAACACCCCTTTATTTTGTTTGTTTGTTTGGCCCAGGTACTTGAAGAATCCAAAGCTTTAGTACGCAACATCATGAAGGTGGACTTGGAACAAGCAAATGAAAAGGAATGTGAAGTTTTGAAGAAAATCTGGGGCTCAGCACAAGGAATGGACTCAATGTTAAAATATCTGCAGAAGAAAATTGATGAGTTCTGATGAGATGCCCATTGACACTGGAATTGTATTTCTGGGACATCAGGGCAAACGTAAAGTGCCCATTTAAAAAAAACTATATAAACTAACCCCTTGCTCAGCTTGGGAACAGGAGTGGACACCCTCCCCTTTTATTGTCAAGGGGTTTAAAAGTACTGTATCACTTAAATCTGAACAAAACTCCTTTCTCCCTGATTGTTACATATAGATATACACACACACACACAAGTGTATGTGTGTGCATATATATGTCTTTTATATATATATATATAAAATGTAATATGTGTGTGAGAGTGTGTATGTAGACACACGCACACAAGCTAAAAAAAAAAAAGATAGAGTGCACTACCAAACATCTCTTTAAAGGCTCTAGTTTTTGTTATCTTTGGCTAGTACTGTATCAAATAGAGAATGGATTAAAAAGTGAATGGTGTTGCATTATTTTCTGTGTGGCAGGGAAGTCTGGAATAATGCTTTTCTTGTTCATTAGATTACAGCATTGAAACGGGTATTAGCCAGCCCTTACTTTCACTGCCCAAGGAGTCAACGAAGATAGAAGGCCTTGTCTTAGAAGAAGGTTGAAATACCTCAAGCAATGGAACATTGTAAAATGTGGGGTAATTAAACCCTGTTAAGCTTACATCACATATATCCCCAAAAAGAGAGTGTGCTCAGGATTATTGCTAAGAAAACACTCTGTCCTTTTTGGGGGGGAGGTATAGAGGGGTGGGAGGAAGAGGGCAGGAATACGTTTAATTCTTACCCAGATAACATGAAGAAACCACTGTCTCTTAGGGAAGGGGAATGAGGGGAAGCGGGAGGGAAATGGAAGGGGAAAGAAAGAAAAAATAAAAAAGAGCTTGTTTTGCAGTATTAGTGAATCACTGAATATCTTCTGTATGACTATCCTAAGTTATAAGTTAGTTTTAGTGGGGTTTTTAAAAACGTCTCTGAATTTGGGATTTTTTTGTTTGTTTTCTTGCTTTTGGGGTTTGGTTTTTTGTTGTTTTGTTTGGTTGTTGGGTTTCTTTTTTAATAACTACATAAGTGCTTCTGTTGCTGGGTGAGAATACTACTTTATATACAGTTTGGATTTTGTTTTTGGTTCTTTTTTTCCTATTTGCTGGTTTAATTGATGTATTACACCAAAAATGCATTTTATGTTCATAAATTTTAGGTTCACTTAGAATATATTATTTAATAAGTTAAAATTCTTTTGGCACACTATTACGTAAAAAACAAAAAACTCCTTTTTAAAAAAAAACAACTACCTTATATTAGATGTTTAATGTTCTTTGTCTATGCTTTTTTATTATTTTAAATATACACTATATACGGTATGGTGTAAAAGAGTGCCCTGTGTAAATAGACCTATTTTGCATTCCTTTCAGGAGTGGTTATTGATTCCTGACTGCAGATACCTATTATTACTTGGGTGTCTGTGCTTGCAATCTTATTGAATGTATTATGAAGAATGAAAAAGAAATCAAACCTTATTTTTGTACAGTTTTGAAGTTTTTACTTGGAACTGACCCACCTCCCCTTCCCAGTGGAGAGCTGTACAGTGTGTAAATCTGCCTTTACCTTGGATTGGTACAGTATTTTTGCATCTGTGGGACCTACTTCTTTGTTCTTAGTAGTTTGAACTATATATAACTGTACAATCTGTAAAGTTTTTATAGAATAAATATTCAGCTGTGAAAACTGGTTAAATAAAACTAATATTTCTTAACACATTTTAAATGTGGCTCGGTCCTAGAGTTGTCTTTTTCAAGGACATTTCAGTTCTGATTTCAAAGTAAGAGTTGCTGCAACAAATCTTGCAAATCACTTTGATATTTATGTTTTATTTTGTTAATCTTTTATCAGCTCTTAATTTCCATCAAATTAAAAGTTGAAAATTAATTTATTGGGGGTAACTATGTAGAAGTTTTCTCCTAGAGGCAGTAGATGGGGAAGATGATATACAGGTAGTCATTCTGCTCTCAGTTTTTGTGTTCCACTTCTAAAATAACATTCGGGAAATGTTTCTTTGCAATCTCTTAGAAATGGGTGACTTTCCCTACAATGCTGTGGTAAAGTGAGAACTCCTTAGTTAGATTTGGTTTTATTGAAAAGGAGAAGGAAAGATACCTTACCTACAGTTCTGTATAGTTAAACCGCGTGGAGTTCAGCTCAAATTTATATAAAGATCTCTCCTCTGGCATCTCTAAGAAGCATTTAGACATAGATTGCACCTGGTTTGGAGTCACAGCCTCCCAGCAGCAGTGGTACTTCAAAAATGACTTTTCTACGTTAATTCTAGTACTGATGTGTGAGCAACCTGTACCTGGAGAAGGAGAATATTGGAGTATCATGAATTATTGGAACTGGGTGCAATGCAAGAACATAGAAACAGTATCCTTCTGAACTGTGCCCAAGAGAACTTCTATATACTTCTGTAAACAAGGAAAATGTTTTCCCCAGTTTTTAACTCCTTCAGATATGAAAGCAAACTAAAGCCACGAGTTTGGGTGTCAGAAGCCTAATCAGTGGACAGTAGAATTAGGAATTAGCGATATTGGAATACAAAATTTAGCTAGCTTTAGCCTTGCTTAGTCCTGACGCTCAGGTCTCTTATCAAGACTGTCTGCTGTCTTGATTGCATGACTACTACCCAATTTGCATCGTTCCTTATGGAGTGTATAGACAAACTGTAAGGTTAAGTGTCGGTGTTGGTGCCAAAACTTGAAAGTACCAGAGGAGCCTTGATAATGCAGTGTAGGAATATACGACATTCTAGTTCTCTTCCTGAAATAGGTAATGGCTCACCTATTACTAGCAAACAGCAAATTGACAGGCATTGGCAATTGGACAGCTTTGAGGCCATACATTATGCTTTCCCCACAGAAGTTCCAGCACATTCAAGTTTATGTTTGGAAGTAAAAGAGACCTTTCCTCTGGGTCAGGAAACCAGAGAGCCATGGGTTGAAAGTACTTGGAACTGTTTGAAAGCCATTTGTGTACACTTAACCACAGCTTCTGCTGATATTGTAGCTTGAGTGAGCAAAAATAGAAAGCAGAGCAGGGTTTTACCTCTGGGTAAGCTAAGCCACAAGAGGTATTTTGGAGTAATCTGAAGATTGTCAGATCAGTCAAGCCAGCATTATACTGTGTCTAGGAATAACTGAAGTCACTATGCCACACTTTCATTTCTTAATGTTTCTGAAGGAATTACATGTTCATTCATACTAACAGAAAATTGTTTTCTGGAGAGAAATTAAACAAGCCTGTGCATCCAAGGGAAAAGAAAGAGAAAAGACAGGTCTTGACACCAATTTTCTTGAAGCAAAATTAACCACACCAGCCAGTCTGATTGATGAACCAGGGGCAACATCATCACAGACTTTTGGATATTTTGGACAGTCTAATTCACTCAGGAGAACAGATATATTTTCCCCCAGAATCACAATCATCTGAAGTTACTGCTATCAGAGTGGAGGGCAGCAGAATTATCTGCAATCCCTTCAACAGAAGATCTTTGCAAATTGATATATAAAGCAGGAAGTTTGGAGACCTTAGATAACCCAGCTCTGAAGTAGAATAAATACTTAAAAAAATAATTCACATGATCCCCAATGCTTTTGAAAGGTGCTGGCACAAGATGATAAGCTATTGTGCTTAATCCTTAAAAAGATGCAGGCCCAAGGTCTACAGTTCAGGTTCCCCTGCAGTGGATACCCCAAGCAACACTACCACCCATGATGTAGGGGGAGGCGTCCCTGCCCATGGCAGGGGGTTTGGAACTAGATGGTCTTAATGTTCTTTTCAACCCAAACCATTCTATGACAGGAGTTGTTCACACTTACTCCTTTTGATACTCTCTTACAGGTTTAGCCATTGTGGGTCAGCAAATAGATTTTTCACAGACATTAACCTGTTTAAACATAACTGGTTGAAAATCAATTTTTAATGAGTAAAAAAACAAAAAAAGGATAAAGGAATGCTATGAATGAGATCCCTCCAAACCTGAAAATATGCAAGTTTCTGGAAATCTCTGGTTAGCCTGTATTAAAATGCCGTTCAGTTCCCTCACTACACTTCCTAACAGCAGAACAGGTCTACCCAACACTCACATGGTAAAATAATGCATCGGGAACAAAACTTGCTGAACAAGAGATGTGGCACATCTGCCTCTAGACAGTTCCTGACACAGAGGCATTAAAACTGCAATTTTGCCACTGAACCAGTTATCACTGATTCTCACCATGTCCCTTCACATCTCTCTCTTTCAATTCCCCTCTGGTAAATTGGTTTTGATTACTGAACTTTCAAAACCAAATAAGCAACCAAGACAGCAGTCTAACAACAGTAATATGTATAAAATAAACAAGTAAACCATATAAAAATTGTCCAGAAGTTTCTGAGAGAGGCTGGTTGGCTGGAAATAAATGTAATTTTGCCAGTGTCCAGAAAGAGACACGCACAGAGACATCTCTGACTTCACATTCAGGCACTTCAGAAAACCGAGTTTTGTACCCCAGGAAGTTGGTTTGAACCCAGGAAATTCCCTGATAGAAGATTCCTGGCCAGCAATCCACAAGAACTTGACACACTATCATTATTTCCTTGTCTCTGACGTTCCCGGTGCTTCTCCAAGTCCTAGTGATGAAGAGGAACTGTAACCTGAGGAGAGCTACAGGACTAACAGGGAGTCATGGCACGTTCCACAGAAACATGTTATCACTGAAGACAGCAGGGCAAGGCACAAGCAAGATAGCGCTGGATTTTCTCTCCTCTCAGACCACTGCCTCATCACAAACTGAAAGCACTTGCACAGAGAAAGGAGAATCAGAGCATCCCACCCAGAATCTACATGAAAAGCAGGAAAGATGAACAGCTCCTCTGCAAGGGCAGCGGCTGAAATTAAGACTCTTTTGCATCTGTTTTTCCTACCATGCACAACAGGAACCCTGTTCGAAGAGCTGCGCAAAGGCATGCAGGCACTGTGCTTGGACAGCTGCCATGCTTGACCTGGCAAATCACTGATGATAAAACAGCAGAGTACATTACTAAGTTTACAGACTTGCCCGGTTTCCTCTCTAGATCAACATACTATCGCCACCTCGCAGGCTTTCTCGTGAAGCAAGCTGTGATCCCAGCTCACACCAGCAACATGAAACTGTACCATCCATCATGCTCTCCCTGATAACTCAAACCATCCACATCTACAGCCAGCCAGCGCAGCAGACTGGAAAGAGTTGGAGAAGAGCCTGACAGAAGCAGTGGCTTGTTCCTCTTGGAGACTGCAAGGCCAGAGGCAACAGTGCAGTAAAAACTGCCTCACCAAAAGGCCTTCAAACCATAGGTACCTCAAAGTACTTGCAGTCCAAAAGCTGCTGGGTGGTCAGCACCTGGTGCCAGCTCTTTCTTCTTGATTTGTGTTCTGTGGAGGGGCTTCAAAATACCACAGAAGTGTTCATTGACAAACCGCTGGCAACCGCCACAGAAATGGTGCTGCCATAAACGAGGAATGGTACAAATACCAAAGCCTCTCAGCCTTCAAATTAGATGTATATTTAGAAATTCTGTGTCAAACCATGAAATTAAAAAAACCCAAGCACTGTGGATCTCCTAGCAGCAGGAGCTGCTTTGTTGGTTGGGGCCAGCAGGGATTTGATCCCGAGGAGCAACACTCCTGCCTGCTGCTGCCTCTGGAAAGATTACATTTGTCAGACAGCGGGAGAGCTTCTGCGACACTGTGTCTCTGTTGGAACCCCTAAGGGGAAAATAGGGTCTCCTCAGAACAGACAGGAAAATTTAAGACTTCCTCTAAGAAGAAAAGAAGCAAAGCAGCAGAAATCCAAGGGAAGAAGTGGAACTATTCCTAACAATCACGATAATTGCAGTTTTGTAAGTTAGGCTGGCTAGGTGCCCAGAATGGGTAAGCAACCCCAAACCGGTTTAACTGACAAGCATACTGCAGTTCGCACTGCTCTGGAATAAAGCAAAATGACTTCCAACTTTTCAAAAATCATAGCTACAGATTCTCCCTCATCTATACTTTTTTATTTGTGTAAACTAACAAACTGTGCTCTGAGATAGTGGTGAAGTTTGATATTTCTGAAAGTAGCTGTGAGGTTCAGACATAGCTGTCAGTAAAACCAAAGGGGAAGGTTAAAAATACCTTATTTAAAATATATTTACAGTATATATAAACAGCTGATTGTATGCACATAATGCACAATGTGCAGTCTGCATGGACAACTTACCCGATCAGTTTACAACATTTTGCCCACTATAAGACTTTTTTCAGTAGCTTTTTTAAATACGTTTTACTAACAAGTCACCCAATTCCCTTTGTATTGAGACTTCAAATTCAACTTTATCCCCCATCACACTGACTTAACATTGTTCCAGCAGAATTTATGAATTCAACACTTGTGACAATCAGAAGCATTTGTAAAACTACAAAACAGGGCCTGCCAGCACGGCTCTGGGAGCTTTGCTTTAGTGATTCTTGATCCAAGATTAAGTATGATGGGAGAAACTGCCACAAGCATTATTACGGTTTTAAACAGAAGATGGAACAGTGCAATGATTTTGCAGTGTTATTTGATCTGCACAGGCTTTCCTTGCCTAGAAAGAGTTAATCTGAACAGTAGCTTGCTTTCTTTGGCAGGGACTATGCATCATCCCCTGATCAAATCTCATGAAAATACAAAATTATAAAAATGGTGTCCCTCAGGTGTACTGAGAGAACA